AAGTGCCAAAAAGATGCAATAATGGGAAGCATTACTACTTTGAAAATCAGCTCCATTAATTTTACGCCTGAATACAATCATCCAGAAAATAGCACATATCGAAGATGCATGTCATCAGCATAAAAGTGGAAAATTATAAATGTAATCAAATTTGACAATACTGAGAGGAGATGTCAGCTGCTGGTCACAGAGACTGCATTTCAATACAGCAAACTCCAGCAAAACTACAATGCCCCAGTGGAGCCAAGCCAGTACTAAACAAGAGGTTGTGGCACAAACCAGAATTTGCCATTCACAATGCAGTCTAAATGATGTACTGGCATTGGGATAGAAACACCCTTAAGAAAGCTCTGTCATGACCTATTTCAGGTGTAGCTTATTACAGAGAGGATGATATGGAAATTTGAGTCAAGCTTTTTGAATCTCCTGACCCCTGACTTTACTCACCAGTCTTAGAGGCTGCTGTGCTTGGAGCAACCAGACCATGCCTCAGTTCCCAAAGGGCACTTCACATTCACCCCTTCCCACCTGCATCAGCCGTGGCTGAAGCCAGCTCTATGTGCCACACACAAGCCTAGGGCACAGAAAGCCTGAGCTGGGAAATTTTTGCAATTCCAGAGGTACACTGACACATGCTGAGGGTCTCTGGGGACCGTGGGAGGCTTAAGAGGCAATTCCATGGGAGGAAACAAAGTGAAGCCCTCTGGTAATTCAAACAGAACTGAATGAAACAGCAATGCACGACATAAGGCAGCCTGCAACCAAGCTGAGGGGTTTTACTCCTCTCCAAACTAGGGTTGCAGCTGCTGCATTTTGCAGCTGCCTCTATTAAAAAGCTGAAAGGGTTTTTTTTTCTAACTCAACAAAGAGACTAAGACAACAGACTAACCTCTTTAGGCACAGCAGCCACAAGAGTGAAAAAAAAAGCTTGGGGATTTTTGACTGCTGCCATGGAGACATAATTTCTTCGTTAATAAACAAGAAAACAAGGAATACATATACAAAAAAAAAACCTTCAGCAGCATTTTAGCCTCTTAAACAGAAAGAGTTAATCACAATTTTGGGTAAATGCATGGGCCAGCATTATGTGCAATCAGATAATTTAGCCAGGACAACAGCCAGAGGAGGGAACTCCAGGGGACCTATCTGAGGTGTGTAAAATGGTAGCAGGGACTCAGAGCTGACACATGCAAGTGCTTGCACTTTGAAAGAAAATCTAAACTGCTCCCCACTGCCCAATTAGCTGATGTGTTGCAGTCATGGCTGTGGTATTGACCATAAATAGCACTTTGGTCACGTGTGCATCTTCTGGATCACCCTGCTGTCTGTCTTCACCTGAGATTCCCTTGAGAAGGAAGCTGTCTTTTTAGCGACTGCAATCCAAATAAAAAAATAAATAAAATTAATACATTTCTGAGTGCTAAAAAAGGCAACAATGGAAAACCTTTTGTTCCAGTTACCTTTGCAGAAAGAAACTTCTCAATATGCACTGGTTGACACAGTTGAAAACATTTTAAATATTACAATATCAACTTTAAATACTTATCCAAAATATCATGTTCCCAAAACCCTGTCTCAATACTGTATAGCTTAAACAATTCCCACAAAGAGCCTGGCACCTACTCCTTAGAGAGAAAGTTCATATTTCATACAGATCACTCCTGTATGCTTACAGCTCCTCGTGGACAATGAAGTTTGATGGAGGGATCCTGGCCTACAGACAGCCTGGGAATTAGAGTCTGGGAATCTGAAATGCTCAAACAGCATTTCCAATCAAAACCATATAAGTTTACAGATTTACAGGGAAAATTGTTTTCCTTTTGTTGATGGAGAAGAGGTGTTAGTGGGGTGAAAAAAAAAATTCTACAGAAAGCATATGGCAATCCCTTAATCCATTTTTTATTTAAAGCTGTCTGGATTCTCAACTACACAGATAATTCTCTGGAAAGTGAGAACTGATGAAGGGTTTGCATGTCTAAAAGCTTAAATATTTTTTACAGTTATATTTGTTGACCTATGAAAAAGACCTCTCTCCAGAAATTCATAAACAACTCACACCATCACAAGTATAGCAAAGCAGCAATAAAGTACCTTCCTTTCATAGGAGGAAAATTATCACCTCCACTCAACTCTGTGGGAAAATCAAAAATCTAAACCACAACTGACAGGTATCTCCTGTGATGAAGAAGAGATGTGGCACTCACAAGGAAGAGTGTGTGTGTGGGTGTGTGTTTTTAACTTGAAGCTGGCTGCTTCAGTAGCAATAGAGACCTTTTCTGTGATTGTTTGAGCCCCAGAAGCATGAATTTGGCTATTAGAGCAAGGTCTGTCTTCCTGCATTCACATGCTGACTAGCATTTCCCCTGTCTAAGCTCTTATCAGCCTGATATAGGAGCAGTTTTCAACGCAACTTCTAATTCTCCTCTCTTCCTCTGTTGCTCTCACTCCCTTTTTTAATTACATTCGGGATGTTTTCTTATTGATTTACTTGTTTTTGTATTTAGATGCAGGGATTAGAAATTCTTTTTATATGGCAATTCAGTTTTCCATTAAAAGAAGCCTCTCATGCTATAAACCCAGGGGGAATGGAGGAGGAGATTTTGATGCATGGAGCAGGTGGAGGCAAGATGGTATTTGGAGATTGCCTTGCACTCTGCTCTATCTCAGCATCCTCTGCTGTGTGATTCATTGCTCTCTGCCACAAAAGCCACACTCCTCTCTTGTGAAGGCAACTGTATTTGCCAAGTGGTCAGGATAGATATCATACTGCACCACTGCTCAGATGGGCAGGACTTCTGGCTAGCAGAAAGGATTAGTCGCATTTTCAGAACACAGGGAAAAAAAAAAAAACCAAAAAAAACCCAAAAAAACAACCCCCCACCACACCCCTTGGAAATGTACAGATCATCTTTTGGTACTTAATCGATGTTGCATTCAGTTTGTGACCAATCTGGGGGCTCAAAGAGTCTAAAAAAAGTAACTAAAGAAAGCAAATCTATTGTCAGCAAGCAGGCTTACATTCGTTCTGCAAAAATAAACCCTGCTTTTAAAATTTTCAGGGTCTCAAAACCAAAAAGAAAATATTGAAAAACATCAATTTAAATAATGCAAAGATTTAGGGACCTGAATGTGCAAGTAAAACAGGAAATCCCATGAAAAGGAGTATTTATCTAGCTTATTTATTACACTATTTGCATTTCTACAATGTCCTTTGCAGAGAAACTCTCTGCATAGATGCTCTCCAGGATTCCACACTCCCCTGTCAAGTAAAACAGAGCTTATTCCTGAATTCTCCTAGTAGAAAATAACATTTAGAGCCCAGGAAATCTACCTACTACCTCTGACCCTGAGCTTTCCTCACAGACCTAGGAAACACCTGGAAAGTTCTAGCTTCTGAAACTCTCTCAATCTCCAGCCCTCCCAATGGCCCCTGTTTCACTGGAGACCAAATGCAGAAGTGTTCCAGAACACGCTGAAAGACTCTCACAAAGCAGCATGTATTCCCAGCTGGCCATGTGCTGGATACTTTCAATTGTATTGGTGATTAATTACATTTCAATCACTTTGAGAATCCTCCAAAAGGGGTGCTGTCATTACCTTTCTGCAGAGCTCAGGTGATGCTGCAAGCTCAGGATTAAGACAAGGTTTGCCTGTTTGTTACATTATTTATGCAGAGCAGATTGTTTGGCAATTACATTTAAAGCACAATCACAGTACCATTTGTACTTGCTACGTAAAGAGGCAAAAGTTTTTTAAGGCATTAATACCTTGAAAAGTACCAGGGTAAGTGGAAATGACTGTTCTCTCTTATTAGCTTGCATGGTTATTTATACTTTTGCAGATTACCATGGTGCAGTGCAATTAGGCTTCTTAAGTACTGTTCAAAATTGAGAAGTTTCAAAAGCTCTACTGAGTAATTAACCCTCAAATACATTTACAGGAATAAAGCTGCAGCAAATGGCCAAAGCCTGTTCCAAACATGGGCTTTTAGATCACCTGTGAAGAAAGAAGTACAAGAGACCATCTGCCAAGAAGGGTTCCCACCCAAGAAATGCACTGACTTCCACCAACTACACCTTGAGCAGGTTTCACAACAGGTGTAATACACCAGGTAAATCTGGAACAAGGCACTTGGTCTCACCAGCCCCAGGCTGCCGGGTTTTTTAATTCTTTTTTTTTTTTCAAATGTACCTAGGGTAAAAATCACCTGATAGCAATTCTGTTAAAGGCATACCACTCCACAGGCAAGATGAAACAATTTGGTGATTTCAAAGGTCAAAGAACTGACCTGTTTATAGGGGTGAATTTGGGGACTGAGGGGATTTTAGGTTACTTCTTTATTTTAAATGCAGACACATACTTCCAAACACACACTCTCCAGAGCATGTTTGCCCAGGGTAGGACAGTCCACCTCCCATGCCAGCCTAGGAACAAGGCAGCTCTGTGACAGCATCCAAGTACATCCACAGTGGAGACACCAGCACTCTGCTGTGGCATCTCTAGTCCTTCAGCAGCTTCTCTCCATACAGCCCAACACACAGGCACTACCAAGATGACCATCTTATCTCACAGGGGTGAGTAACACAGCTAAGATTTTATCATACACTGTGTTTTATTCCTTCTCAGACACAGTTCCAGCAAGTGTGTACCCATCTATAGAGCCTGTTCTCATTGCCAGCCTCACAGCAGAGAGGGGAAGGAAGGGACTTCTCTAAGGACACTCAAAGGTGAGAAGGAAACCAAGCTCCTCTGCATGCCAGGGAAGTGCCATTAGATGATGAAACCCTCTTATTTGCAGACCTCACTTTATTAAAGGAATATGTCCTAATCATGTATCCCTTTTGCAAAGAGCAACTCTATTTGTCTCAGATTCTTTGCCAGCTCCTGCTCTGATGAACTCAGACACTCCCCCATGCCCACAGCCTGGATCACCCCCAGTTTTAGAAGAGATACAGTACAACCCTCCATACCAGTTGCTGTGATTTCCACAACCCACATACCTCCACAGTGAACTCTCCGTAACACTCCCCAGGTTGAAGTCGTAGAGCTTTGTCAGAATGAGAATCACCTAGAGAGGGGAAAGGGAGGGAGGGAGAAAGAGAGAAAGGGAAAAGAGGAGAAAAAAAAAGGTTGATGTTAGATTTTTTAACAATACACAGGGCATCTGAAACCACCCAAAGGACAGCTGAGCATTTATCCATTAAAGTTGCAGTATTATAGGATAAAGCAGGTTTAAAAAGTAAAACGGGAAATCATTAGCTTAGTGCATTGTATAACCAGTAACACTTATTTTAATCCCAAAATGTTTTGCATTTGAAATAAAACATGCTGCCAGGAATTAATCAGATTTTGTGAGCTGACCTCTCTGCAACTACAATTATTCAAAGTCAGGGATGGAATCAAATGCACCCTTGCTAATTCAATAGCTCAATCTAAGATTACAGTCAACTTCTTTTGTCTCTCAACATTCTGTCACTAATTATTCAGTCTCCATGGAAAGAACGGGCAAGTTTTTTTATGCAGATCCCCATGCAAAATCATGATGACCAAAACAGGCCATCTTGCCTAGAGCCATCTCTGTTTTCTCCATCTGCTGTCACTGACTCCAGAGCATAGGAATTCCTACATGCCATCACCTTTCCACAGTAGTAAGAGGGATAAGTAGTGTGACATTCTACATATCTGCAGTGCTCGAGGAGGGTCAGAGGCTCCAGGGCTCACTGACTTTCTGGAGAAAACACTCCTGAGTCATGCCCCTGCAAAGCTGAGGTTGGGGGAGAGGGGAGTTAAACAGTACATGGGGGAGCACAGAGGAATATACTTTCCTTCTGATGTATCTGGTGCTCTGACCTCAGATTTCACAAGTAAATGTAATCCTCCTAGTTACAAGCTACATTGCCCAATGCCCTTCTCTCCAGAAAGGCAGTTATGCATTCTGATAATGCATAACTTGGGAGCCTTTGTGCAAGTTCCCAGGCTCACATAGGATGGGAACCTGTGCAGAGAGAACACAGGCTTCTCAGTGGAAGGCAAGAGCGTTTGAGATCTGCTCTGTGCCTTTTTAGCATAACACCATACAGTTCATTCACTTGGATTCTACAGGACCAGCCTCAAGGAAGAGTTCCAGGGCACCTCTTCATTTTTGTTTTGCATAGTTTTAACATTTCAGCATCATTTCCTCCTTGCAGGACTCAAGCACAGGCCAGTTTCCCTGACATCTGTGAGAGAGCATCTAGGGCAATGAGTTAGCAGGTTTGTTAGCAGTTACTTCACAGTTTGCCTAAAAGGTGGGTCCAAGTGAGAGATGTGTCTCAAATGGCTGAGTTCATTAATGTTTTCCTATGCAACAAGGATCTCTGCTCATACAAAAGCCAGGCCTCCCTCCCTCCTCCTCCTCCCACAGCAGTGGGACCAGCCATAGCTTTCATTGGGCTTTCCCAGCTGAAAGTCTGATGGGTGCAGAGTTTAAAGCTTTGCAGAAAAATGCCAAAGGATTAATCAATATCACAGCTGCTGCAGCACTTGCTTACAGTCAGCATAATACCAGGAAAAAACCTGTTCAAATTGTAAGGGACCTTGGTACGTGACTATGCAATCAGTGCCCAACTTAATGATTTTAGAATAGATGCTCCGAGCATTCCTCCCTCTCCTGGATCCACTTTTACTATCCTATATTGCATATTTCCTTTTATTTCCCCACGCAGAGACCTTTAGGAAGAATATAATAGCCAAGCTGCTTCCAGCAGGGTGTGAAAAGAAACCTACCAGGCAGATTTGAGTCAGCATATGCAAGTCCACGTCAGCTGAAACCAGCGCTATGCTATGGGGAAATAAGGCTAACATCCTTTTTTAATGCAGCTGAAACCCTGCACACACCTTCCCATACAAAGGGGCAAGAGCCAGCTGCAAGTTGCAGCAACCCAGGATTGTATGGTTTGTGTGCCTCCTCCCCTTACAGCCAGCAGGACAGCCTTCTCCCAGCCAAAACCCAATGAGAATGACATTTTTAGGATGTTCTCTATATTCCCACGGGCACTTGGCCAGCCCTCCTCTCAAGACTCTCTAGGAAGCCATGCACTGTAGCACAAGCCCTGCCTGCCCTGAAATTACACCCCTTGTATTGCTCACAGCTGTGGTGAGGTTTCACAAAGTTTACACATTTCAGAGTCCAAGCACATTAAAGACAGCTGTTCAGTGGATCCTGGATTCATTCCTAGACATTGTAAATAAAATCTCTGTGTCTTGGTCAAATTTCAACAGATTCTATCTTATTTCTACCCTAAATTGCAATCACAACTAAAGGCAGCATCCATAGTCTCCCAGCTCTTTGTGCATCTCTCCCCAGATCTCCTATGCCCTGTATTTTTGAAGACATCATATATATATTACCACCCTGCAAATCCCAGGATAACAACAGCTTTACAGAAGTGGGCTGAATGCTACTCAGCTCCTGGGTATAAAATCATAGTAAAAACACGTTGTTTAGTATGACTTTTCTGGATTTTTGCCCAGCATGACTGACTAACATCCATCTCTACTTGTTGGTGCTGCATGGAAAGCACAAGTGTGAACATCCTTTTGCAGTATCTTACACAGGGTCCCAGGAAATAGCAGGAGTTGCCTGAGGCAATGGTAACACCTACAGTAACCTGTCCCTAAAATCACTCACCACATGAACCTAGGACAGGCAACATTCCCACACCGCTAACCCAGGCAGCTTCCACTCTGCTCCCGCTTGCTTTTGAGAAAAAACAGCCCAGATTCAATAAAGGCAACTCTTGCAATGGTTTGGGAGTCTGAAAGCCAGAGAGGATCTGAGAGTCTGAACATACAACCCTCCCAAGAAAAGCTGCAAAAGCACTTTGCTGCCTTGTGAGACCACAGAGCAAACTCAGCTGCTCAGGAACTATCGCGGGGTCGAGACACAGACAAGAGCCTGAAAGGCAGAGCTGGATCCCGAGCTGCTTCCATGGGGTGTGTTTGACACAGCTCTGCAGAGGAAACGTCAAACCCTTTCAAGAGGATCTTCTGAGGCCCCATCAGGCTGCCCCAGCCATGATAAGAAGAAACATGAAGCAGGGGCGGATGAGGAAACGTAGATTTTCTAAGACATTGTGTTGTTTGAATGCTTCAGCTGAAAAAGAACAGCACAAAATAGGAGGAAAATTGGACACATCTTCCAAAACTGAATTCTGACAGGAGAAAGAAAAATTAAAAAGGGAAAAACCTTCATTGACTCAGGCTGAGACATTTGATTCCAATTTCTGCTTTGTAGTTGAAGAAGCTCAGCTTGTTTGTGTCAACACTAAAAAATGACCCTTTTTTTCTACGGCAGTGAAATTTTGCATGAAAATCTTGATGGTTTTCATTTTAAAAGCTGAATTCTACAGAAAATTGGAGATTTTACAGTTAAGGCACGATTTCAAAACAAAAACATTTTCTTCCCCTGAACTGTCAGAAATCTGGAATTGCCACCCCATAGAAAATGCCCACTCTGGAACATAAATTAAAATTTTGCTCTGAGAAAAGGAAATTTATTAAGTTTCAAGAAATTCAGAAACAGCAAAAATCTTACACTTAGGCATAATTTAATCAAAATAAAGAAAACACCTTTGTAGTGCCAAATTAAATTGTTTCTATTCATCAAACCAATCTTTCTAAAATTAATTCCAAGTCAGCTCAATGTTAAATTGCATTTTGCTATGGGATCATACTTCTACTTCAGGAAATACAGCTCAGATATGAAGTTTCCTCATCTCCTGCAGGCTAGGCTCCACACACACACTGTGCTTCCCAGGACACCCCAGGGCAGGTGTCCCTTGGGACACCGAGCAGCTCGGCTGGTTGAGAATGAAAAAACCAGTCTGTAGGACAGAGTGTGGAAATAGGGAGGCTGAATTACAGCTCCCTTAAGGCAATACAATCCCTCCAGAAAATGCAATTTCAAGCTGAGCTTACACAAAACTTAATGACCTGAATAATTTAACAAATTGTTTTGGTTTTGTAGACAGAAATGGTAATGGAGAAAGGATAATCAGAAAAAATATATTTTCTTTGGAAAGAGGCGATGTTCCAGTTCTACAAGAATTTTCTTCTGTGCTTTATTTTTCACACATGCATCTCCACATTACATATAGGTTGGAGGTTTTTTCACTGTCTACTAAATACCCTGCTTTAAGGCTTACATAAAAAAATGCCAACACCTGTCAATCATTTCCCTTAAAGGGCCTATACTTCAATACAGATTAAGAGCCTCTGGCACTGAGGAATCCTGACACAATGCTCTATAGCATACTAAACCACTAAATCTAGATTTGATATGATGGACCACTTCTCTAAAACAAGGCCAGCAAGTGTCCAAAACTGTCCAATTCAGCAGCCTTGAGTCTTGACACAACTTGGCTGGCATGAAAGCAAAAAAATCACAACTAGGAACATTAGCCCATGGTTCATTCCATCTCCAAAACACATCCCTGAAGGGATCCCTATTGTTCAGACAATTATCAGAATCTCCAAGCCCACAAATCACAAAAGTACTCAGAAGCTTTTCAGAGTGTTTGGTGGCGTAACAATCTTCCATGCCAATAAAATTTTACTACGAAGGAAAATTACTTTAGTTCATTAAACCCAGCTCCAGATCTTGCCAATTCTAAACTGGCAAAGTGCTTTGCATATACCCCAGAGTGGAATATATAATGTCTGTTTCCCACAAATTAAGAGTGCAAAGGCACTGCAGTTCCTTCAGCAGGTTGACAGTGAGCTTCAGGACAAGTAAAAGCACCACACCAAAGCCTGTCAGGCTCCTGTGACAGGGGACATTCATGTGAGAGACACAAGAGGGAAGAGCACAGCAAAGAACGTAGATGTCAGACAGACATCTGAAAGGCCAGCTCCGATCCACTTCACGAAACATCTCTTCTCTGAGTGATCCTGCTACATCAGCACAGAGATTAACACAACTCATCAGCAGCCCTGTGCACATATTTGCCAAGTGTAATTAATAAAGAGTACAGGGATGAGCACTAGGCAGCAGAGAGCACAACAGAAAGAGGGCAGACAAATTTACAT